GTCTGACGCGTCTGCCTCCGCGACCCGAAAGGAGAAGCGGCGATGGAAGATGAAGATGAAGATGAAGGCAGGAGTCGTCGTCACTTTGGTTTAAGTATCTAGGAAGAGCATACTTCTAAACAGACCTTTCTCGGTGGCATTAAGATACACATAAACTCATAATCACTACTATTTTCCTTAATTAACAAGCTGCCCCTGTTTAGCATAGACGGCTTAATAGCAGCAGCACACCTTTTCACCAAAACTGCACTAACAACTGCAATACGTCTCTATCCAAAGAACCAGGAACTTAAAGCAGGAGCATAATCTACCACCGAAAATCCGGTCAGGAGCCAAAGGATAACAAGACAACAGGGTGCAGGCGATACTTAGCATTTAACTCCGCTATCAAGGTCTTCAGATTATTTACTATTCATGAACCATAAATGACTAATGATGCATCGTGAGAATTAGCAATCATGGATCTGCAAGCGCCAGAAGATAATATAAAATCAAGGTTATGAAGAAGACAATAGGTCATAAGAAATCAAAATAAATACTACTAATGACCGCATCTGAAATTCGGTGGTGAAAATCGCTTTCATCATTATCCGATCATTTTTAAAAAAGCTTATTTTCGCGGCAAATGTGAAGTGACAAATTCTCATGCATAGAGGACTCATTATAAGGACGACCAGCAACGCATCATAATAGCATAATAATAGTGCGTCATCACCTAATAAAAAAGTTTTACAAATGCTAAAAGACGATCAAATTACATAACATCCTAAAATTGCGACAATGACCGTACATGACATGGAAATTATCGTGAAAGAGTCCTAATTTAATGACTCTTTAAAGCGCACTTCACAACAATATAGCAAAATATAAGCAATTTGCAATAAGATAGCCTGAGAGCTGTGCCTTACATTCAGCAGTATAATAAAATGATTACATCAGTTTCAACATTGCTGCACGTCTACATTCGGTAATGCTAACTTTGGGTTTTGCATGTTTATAACTGTACGAAATCAAGCAAAAATAAAACATAATTGCACATCTACGAGTTGAGTTATTCATCGATACGTTATATAATTTGTTGTACAAAAATACCGATCAATATCGCTAAAACTTCTTTTGCTTATACCAATAAACTTTTAATTCTGCAGCACAACTATGATTTATTGCCCGAATAATTTAGTGTTAGTACACCGATTGAAATGTTGCGGATTCAGTTTTGTTTTGATACAAGCATATATTCGCTGCGATTATTACAATTGATTTCCCTTAAAGGTAAAGCTTGCAAATGTATAATCATGGGATACGCTACTCAACGCAGTTCTGCCAATTTTTATATGGGGGACTTATTTTGTATTTGCTACATATTTACTATGTTGCGTGAAACGAACTCTAACTATCCGTTCTGCGTAGCAGTTCCACATCGATTTGTCAGCACAAAATGTACTTCGATGAAGATCGCTGAAGCATAATTCGTTCACACTTTTTAAGAGAAGTCACCTATTTTTAGACTGCGCTTCCATAAATCTGGCTATCTGGAACTCTAACACAGGTGGTATATCACAAAAAAATTTGCAGATTTAGATTAAAGAACAAGGGAATTCAAACAGTAATCTGTTATACAGCTTAGTTAAACATGATAATCAAATTCCAACTCAAAGTCGCGGGAAAGAACAGTCTGTAGAATTTCTTGCCGTTCGACCGTTGTTTTCGCGAATGTCTTACTTTTCGCTGTTTTTATGTCTATAACGTTCAAGTTAACTTATCGACTATTTTTATCAGTCCTGATTCCGTCAGTAAAAATATGAAATTGGTAGTGTAAAATATTTTGTGGTGTGCTTTTAATGCAAACTTGTATGTTGGTAATCTCTAATGTTTTAGATAGCAAGATATGAGCTCCAGGAGCAGTTCTTCTCGGCGATCAGGCTCTCGAGCAGGACGACGGCGTATCAGGTTGCTCGACGAAGAAAGTAATCAAGCTCCGAACAGTGACGCAGGACCGCTGCCGAGCCAGTCTACGAACGGAATCGATGATGATGTGGAAAATGAAATCTTCCCGGACGACGAACCTCCGGTTGAAGATGAAGAAGGCGAAGAACTGTTTGGCGAGAACATGGAGAGGTAAATTATTATGCAAACCTATTGTTCTCGCTATCTCTTATAGTTTAAGTTGACGTCGCTCAATGATCGTAATTTTCAACTCATTTTATTGTGACACTTCCATTTTGTGTTTCGCAATGATGAATTCTGATCCCTCAAATAGACTTGTACATTTTCGTCAGAGCTTTATGAGAATTGTTTCCATAGCTAAGAATTGTACAGTTTAAAATGCTCAGCTTGATTTAATCCTAAGACAGGAAAATCCAATCGAGCCCCCTTCAAATATATCATTTCTTTTAAAATATTTTGCTTGTATGGGTGTGAGGAATAGGGAGGATGCTTATACAGGATTGAAAGCTCAGTCTGCAATGCTATGTCAAGCATCACACCGCTGGTAACACGGTCTAACGATTTCTTCGATTTTGGCCATTGCAGTTTTCATTATCGTTGCTTGATTTCCCGCTGACAATTTTTTAAACTTCATGAAGCAAAGAACAGTCCTAATGACAGGGATTTCAAGCCATTTCTGCTTCATCTACTAATTTAATAAAATGCTATACCCTATTTTATAATATCATTGATTATCAGATGAGAAAGTACGTCCCACGATGAATTTTGAACCAATTTACAGCTTTTCCAGTGAACTTAATTGAACTCTCGAGCGGTCGAGAATACCCCGAATTACTCTGGGATTACGGTGGCCATTACAACCGTTTACATTACATAAAAATAAATGACTAATATTTACCTGGTTTAGTTCCCTATACTATCATTTTCATTCTAAGATGGGGACATTTTAACGCCCCTTTCCTGTAATTAGTGGTGGGGCGATGATCTCTATTGCCATGCCATCACCCTGGTTGCCTTATTTTAAAGGCAGGGTCAACGTCAATTTGTTGCATTTGTAAACAGAGTTTGTAGCCTCCTATTTCCTTCTTACAAAGTGGTTCTCATTTATCAACCTCGAAAGGAAGAAAGAAGTCATCTCACGACGGTTAGAACCGCGTATCTCTCGATTCTGTTTCCGATCTGTCTATCGATTGAGCAACCCCTTTCCGTAATATATAAAAAAAGTTTTAGAATAACTTAAACAGTATAAATCTGGTAAGGTGAACTGACTTAGTAACTTTACCGGTGAAGTCGTTCGTGTCCTGAATATGGGGGTTACCGTTTGTGTACAGATATTTCTCAACTTCTGTTACTACTCATTACTAATAAAAACTGTAGCAGTTGTTAAGAATCCATGATAACTTATCCATTTGGTTTTTGAACTGCTTCATAACTTTTAAGTTTTGTTATGTCCTCAAAGGCTAACGGAGCTTAGACATCAGGAGTAACTCAGATGATTTATTTGACCTTTAGTAGTGGTATCTCAGGTTGATATAAGAAGGAGTCATATACCTGTTTGCAGGTCTTAGTTAACGATGTGTTTGCACGTTTTGTATGGTTCTCCAATGCATCTACGGCCAGTTCACAGTTCCGAGGCGAGGAAAGTTTTGAATATTTTTCGATTCTCATTTTCGGCGTTTTATCAAGCCAAATCAAGTGCGGTCTGAGTTCATCTGATAATTATTTTCAGCCCGGTGACACCTGTAGATTTGTTATCCGGTAGCACCTGTAGATTTGTTATCCGATGGCGCCATTGCACTTTGAGACAGCGTTGTTGGAAGCTGCCTGCAAGAGCTTCATGACACTTTAGCATGGCAGATGTTTCGAAACTGTACATAAGCATCGTGAATACGGCTGCTTTCAGGATGATTGTCTCTGTTTCAGTTCATATATATCAGTTTTTTCATGTTCTGTACAGCTTGCTAATTCAGCTGATGACAATTGAATTTGCCGCTTCATTTCAGGACTCATTTGCGCTATTGTTGATCACTTTTTACACAGTGGTCAAAAAGTTGGAAAATTTTCTGCTTAAACAAAGTGCAAAGAATTTTACGAAAAATCGAAACGCTATAGAAGCCACAGAAGTAACCATCATCGTGACCGTTATGATAGTCTTTGTCGTCATCGCCAATAAATCGGGGAGTGAGTATAACAGATGCCTATTCCTCTTTGAGAATCGAGCGAAAGGAAATAGTTGTTCACAGTTTACTTAATTCATGGTTTTGCCACCTGCGGTTGTCTGGAATGCTTGCCATTGGTCTTTCTTGTAATTTCATTCGCAGAATCATGACGCTTAAATTCCCACGCTAAAGAAAGCTGGAGTTGTTGAAGTATCACGGAGTCTTTGTTCCTCTAAATGGCCTCAGTGGCCTGTAGTAGCAAGAGTCCATGTGGTAAGTGTGCAGCGGGTTAGAATAATCGTCAAAGACGCTAAAAATACGGTAAAGAAACTTTCACAACGAGGCTTATTAAGCTATTCTAATAGACGTGACAGCAGCATTGCTTGAAGTTTCTAGTCTGCGAGAATCTGTTCGGATTCTTAGAATCGAATTTGCCCTTGAACTCTTGAGTATTGAGTCAAAAATTACATAACAAGCCAATGGTTATAGAGATATTTTTTCATCAGAGTAACTGGTTTACTTCACTCATTTATTAAATTTACAATTTTCATCTTGTGCTGATTTTTTCTCGCAAGCTTTGGCATTACTATGTAAAATCATCACGCTATCACTATTATTGACAGTTGAACGACTTGTTTATCGGCTGGTTGTATCGAAGCACTGTAGGATAAACTACTTTATCAAGGGAATCAACATTTACAACTGAGGTTTTACTGCGTCTGAATCCGGACTTTAACTTCCGAAATAGCCGATGAATCTATTGCACCACTGTGCCACCCGTTCTGATTTGCTGATTTCACGAATCGTCTGAGTTCTGACTTACATTGACCTATATTCTTCGGTTATATGACGAGAATTGTAGTGACAAAGCTTTATAAATCTGCTAATGCGATTTACCCCTATAGGAATCTGTAATGATCAAAAGTTTGGGAAATTCGGAAAATATACTGCTGTACGGTTAAGTCAGCTCTGAACTGGTATAATAATTGATGTGACTTCGAGAGGAAATTTCAAGAGAAACGAGGCATTAGCTTGCAATTAAATTTCATAAAGATTTTCTTGAAATTGAAAAATATTTTTAACTAATTATTTAAATAGTTTAAAAAAGATTGCCTGGATAGGACTACTTCACAGTCCAGAGTGAGAACACTAACGATATAACGATGGTTTTGCATGACCTGTAGGATAGACCTAGCAACAAGAACAGCGGGAGTGGGACGCTGTGGTGGTGATTACGTTGTGTAGTTAGCTATACGATTGTTAAGGTGAATTGCAGTTTTATGAGGCTCTCGCTGCAGACAGCATACCATACCATAGACATCAACGACTTGTTGCCTCTTTCTGGGATAGTTGCATGAAAACAACATGTAGTGAAATCATCAAGGGAATTTGCTGTTCATTGAATTTCTTCAGGAATCGAATCTCCGGAGTTTAAAGCTGATCTTTCATCACTGTGCCGCCGCCACCTCCAACTCTCGATGGATGCATTTCAAAGGCCATCTGCCAGTCCTCAATTAATCTAGCCTGCCTGTTTGGCTATTTAAGCATTTATGATTAGCCTTCGTGGCTATTTTGCACCAGTGGAGAATTTCACAGCTGCATGCGATTTTATAGCTTATGATTCTTATCCTGTTCATTCATGAACAATTTCAAATTCCTAGAAATTTATAGTGCATCTTTAGGCATTTTTTAGAAATATTGCCTAAATGTTTTACACTCAAGGACAAATCAAGAATTTAGACATTTCGAATCGAAGGTCGATGTCGATTTTGCTGGTTTGATAGTGACATTAGAATCTGGACCGTTCAAACTCGCCGGTTGTCTGTTCATATTGCGATGGTATGGTCAGGCGAAATGCACGCCTGAGGGATAGGAACTTAATTCCCTACTAAGGAGCTGCGGCAATTGTGACGCTGTAGTGTCTGTAGCGAGATAAAACAGCAGAGTAAAACGTCTGCTTATATGGTATTTGAGCCCGGTGGCCGCGGTAGGTACATTTATTTTATGTGAAAAATGTTCAAAAGTTATAATTTATCTCCTAAATTTATGCATATTACTGTTCGCAATTTAATATTGCTAATTTTTTGCTAATTCAGAGATTATGAGCACATTCCGGCACTCGACGTATATGATCCAGAGATTCTGGATGATTCAGGAGAGTATTCTTCTCTCTCGATGGAAGCCAGACGTGAAGCCGAAAAGGAAATGGACCGAAGAGACCGTTTGGAAGCCGTAGCAGCTGGTGCTGAACTACCCGAAGGATTGTTATATGGTATGCTTATTTGCAGACTTCAAATAATGGTCGACATGCAGTATATCCTCGACTTACCGGGCTATTTGATGAAGAGGATCTCCGTAAAATTGCATCTGTAGGATACCAAGGAATTGTTTAATAACGATTAATGTATTTTAGTGCACACCTCACGTCACTTTGAATCAGTGCAGACACGATTTTTATACCCGTATTCATTGAAGTAGAGTACATAAGTAGTACCATAATAATGGTCGGAGAATAGCGAGGAAGTACCGGTATCGGAAATAAAAAGGAAAAGAGAAACTTTTGCCTGTTAAATGTGAAGTCCCTTAAATCGACGTCCGTTAAATCGAAGATATACCGTTTTTCTAAATATCTTAATTTCCTACACCGTGATTTATTTTTTTCAGACGAGTCTGATTCCGCTTCTTTGTCTGGCGCTGCCGGCAGAAAGCGCAGAAGAATAGCTGAAAGAGCTGCCGAGGGCGACGGTGACGTGCGCGAAGATGAGGAAGTACTGACTTTGTTAATCTTTCTTCACTGGCTAGTGTTAGAGCATTTTTTGCTTATGGATTTTGTTTTTTGAAGATAGTTGAAGGCATCGACGTGATGGAGAACATGCGTGGCCGCCCGGTTTGGGAGCACGTGCAGGTACCTGTAGTGGCACAGGAAATCAGGAGACGCTTCAAAGGATTTTTACAGAGCTTCCGAGACGAAAAGAGTCAGCTGAAGTTTCTGGAAAAGATTCGAATTATGTGTCAAGGTAATCATTGAATTTGCTGTCATAAGAGGAGTTAGACTTGTATCGTTGAGGATATAAATAGCGACCTATCAGAATTATGAGTAGTGAACACTAGAGAAATAAAAAAGGGAAGTTAGCGGAAAATTTTTGAACACTTCAGTTTATGCCCGTGCAGTTTCATGATTAACGCCATTTGTTGCACTCTTCGCTCAAGGCATTTATTTTGTCGTACCAGCCAGGCTTACCTCAGTCATGTACTTTTTGGGAAATAAGCAGAAGATTAAACACCATACATGCCACATAGTTAATGTCTGCTCTGCATTTTAGATAAGGCATTCCTAGCTGATAGCAAGGACATGAATATCAGCACTACTAGAAGTTTTATTAACTTCATGAAAAGAAGTTTGCCAACAATGGCCCCACCAGGAAACTGTATGTTGGAGATCGACATTCCAGAGGTTACAGACTTCTTTTCCTTCTTTCTTAATCATGTAATTAAAGCATTTTGGCATCATATGAAGCATTTTGATCAGAAAAGTTGTTTCTACTTCTTTTTCCTCCTGATCTACATCTTAAGGACGAAATGGCAGCGATACCGTTGGAATACGACCCGCGATATTTCATTTGTGGGTCTTGCTCCCTACCGACTCCGATATGCTGTCTTTCTTAGGAATCCATAAAGAAAAAATGCCTTTAATATTCTTCATTTGTGTAGCCATTGCTTTAAAATTGAATTGTAAATTTGGCAGTGAGGATGTTTAAATCTTGTGGATAAAGTTCTTATTTCTTCATAAAAATAAACATCGTTCTTATGGGTTTACCAGCAGAACTTCTACTTTCAGTACCGTTGCTCAGCAAATATAATTTTCTGTTACTTCCCGATTTACGGTGTAGGATCACCGTAAGTTGCTTCTAATGGGCTATGAGACCGTTTAAATAGGCGGTATTTAGCTCCATGATATTTAAGCACCTGCAGTGCATGGATGCAAAATCATATCAATGTGCAGGACCGAGGAAAGGCTTGTTCCTACACCTGCCGAAATGCTACTAGCCTCAGGCTTATTTATGCATGATGATGAAGTTTTTACTTAGATAAATGTTTAACGATTTATGGTTTAGTTTTTCTGTTCACAACAGTGGCAAAAGCCAAGGCTGATTCCTGGGAGAAGTTCGGTGAGGTGTTGGAATCGAATTTCCACACGGC